TCCCCACGTAATAAGTAACTTCAGATCCACCAACAAAAAGCATAACTGAAAAACAATACATATTGGCTTAATATCCAAAGAACTACTAAAAAAGATAGATGTAATTCTCACTAAGTTAATAAAGACACCCAAAAACCTCTATTATATTAAGGGGTTTAATGAAACAAACTGATACAAAAAAGACCTGGAATACACAAATACTGGGTTCAGCTATATTTCCTAAATACAAAAAAGTTATATTAACTAAACCAAATGAACTTCTCGTCCAAATCACTACAGTAAAACCTCTAATTAATAAACCCCAATTTAACAGATTTTGGAAATTACAAAGACATTGGCTGGGCAAACATTGGAATCGTCAGACAAAATGGAAAAAAAAGTCCACAGTTCCAGATTTTGTCACAGTGATAGTGTCTGGCTATTTCCTGAATCACTGGACCAAATCTGATGATTATCAAGTTTGTCCTGTACAGGCCAGAGCATCAATGTCCAGGAATAGTCTTTTTCATTGTTTCCTGAACCACAGGCCACCCACACCAGTTTGTCTGTGGTCACTCACGCATATATTCGTCATTCAGTCCCAAATTTTCCCTGGATTTACACCGTTTTGTGTAACTTCATTAACATACACTAAAACCTTTAGTTAACAGACCTCCATTTAACAGATTTCAGCAGTTATGGACAAACAATTTGGCTGGATAAACATTGGAATCACTGGGCAAATTGGAAAAAGTCTGCAATTCTGGATTAAGTCTATAGCAATAGTGTCTGGGTATCTTCTGGATCATTAGACTGATTCCAACGTTAGTCCATTAAGGGCTAGAGCATCCATGTTTAGAACCTGTCTGTTTTCATTGTTCCCTGAGCTATAGGCCACCTGTGAATTTACTGTTTGTGCTCACTCATGCATACATTCATAGGTCAGTCTCCAGTTTTTCCCAGATTTACAGCATTTTGTGTAACTTTATTAACATAAAGAGCAATTAACAATGGCCAAAAGGAAGCTTGTGGTTCTCAGTGTTAAACAGAAACTTGCAACTAATAAAGAAGGTTGAGCCTGGCATCTCAGAGGAACAAATAAATGAGGAATATGGTGTTAACCCTTTGAGGGTCGACAGGCCCTCTCCGAAACTCGTTCTCAGGGTCGGCCAAATTTAAAAAAAAAAAAAATTATTTTTTCTTATGAAAAAATAGTTTTTTTTTCTAAACATTATAGGCTAAACAAAAAAATTTTAACGTCAATACTTACCGAGATATGGAGGCGTGAAATTTGCCAAAATTGAACAACATATGGTAACCGCCGACTGCCGTCACCCGGTATTTTTCTATTTACTTTTTTATGTACTATTTTCAATTATTTTTCAATTTTTCTTTTTCTGAGTAACTTTTATGGCCTCTGAGGCCAACATGATCAGTATTTTGTAAGTTATTTCTTTTTCAATACTACACAATAAAGGCATAAACACTGTTGTCATTATTTTGTTTACAGAAAATATTTACACAAACAAACGATATGAAATGTTGTTTATTACTATTTTTCTATATTTTATATACACATATACAGTCACAGGGAATGTTTCTAGAAGTTCTGCAGCCTGTGGAACTCTTTGAAACATGGTGTCATGCACAGTGGAGTTTTACACTCCTCACACATAAAACGAGTGTCTCTGCGTTGTTGTGTGCGTTTTTTTGTATGTGCACAGATGTAACACCTCTTCTGAGCCTTTTTCTTCAAAGCAGTAGCAGGCAGTTTTACCAGGAAGTGATCACCATGCTTCAGACGAGCAGGTAGTTGTTGAAAAAATTTTGGTGGGCAGTCAATTGCAGGTGCTGTTCCTTGGTACTTGAATACTATTTGTCTGATGACAGACAAACAGAATTCGCCGTACTGTGGTTTGTTTCTGGTGCTCATCTTATACATATTATAAGCATTGAGCATGGAAATGTCCAGAAGATGGAAAAACAGTTTGATGTACCACTTATAACTCTTGCGAACACAATCAGCAAACCCAATCTACATGTCACATTTGTCCACTGAACGCATGTTGAAGGTGTAATCAATCACAGCTGCAGGTTTTAGAATGGGTTCATTTCTCTCTCTATGCTGCCTGCCACTGTCTGCCATTTCATTAGGGTGAATTGATGACAACAGTGTGACATCTCGTTTGTCATGCCACCGAAATGCCATGATATCATTGGCAGCAAACACCTGCACCTCACCTCTACGAGTGCCAGCGTCAAACCTGGGCATATGTTTCCAATTTGCACGCACTGTGCCACACACATCTGTCATGTTCACTCGCAAAAAATCACTGAGTGAGGGGCTTGTGTACCAGTTATCTGTTGATAAATTAGACACATACACAACTCTTGGGAATCTTCATTGAGGAAACGTTTCGCCACACAGTGGCTTCATCAGTCCATACGAAGGAGAAACTTGAAGAACAGGAGGAGAATGAGGTAATCAGTCCCTCAACCTTGAGTCGATGTGTTCAGTCCATCAATCTTGAATAGAATACGGCATATCAGCGGAGAAGCAGCTTATAAACCGTATGGCAGGAGAGGTGCAGCAGTCATAGGTCGTGTCACATTTGTTCAATGTGGAAGTAGGTCGTGCCCAAGAATTAGGCAAGCGAAGAATTCCTAAGTATTAAGATCCCAAAAAGTTGCAGTGTCTGGCAGATTTGTAGATGAATGGTTCAGAGAACCGACATGTTGATAAATTAGACACATACACAACTCTTGGGAATCTTCATTGAGGAAACGTTTCGCCACACAGTGGCTTCATCAGTCCATACGAAGGAGAAACTTGAAGAACAGGAGGAGAATGAGGTAATCAGTCCCTCAACCTTGAGTCGATGTGTTCAGTCCATCAATCTTGAATAGAATACGGCATATCAGCGGAGAAGCAGCTTATAAACCGTAAGCTGCTTCTGGAAAGCATACAAAAACAGCCTATGATAAAATACTTGAAGCAGTGCGCAAATGCTTGACAACGTTCTGTTGGTGTCAATATTCATGGTGTTAATCTTCACTCTGCTGCCCGTAGACTAGTGAAGCATAGGAACAAAGAATTTCAAGTAAGTGATGGTTAATTTTGGTGCTTCTATAATTGTCATAACCTGAGTAAAGGGAAGACTTAAGGACAAAAGTTAAGCTATTCAGATTAATGTTAAACGACCTGATACAGTGAGAAGCTCCTGTCTCAACTGTGTAATACTGATGATACTGGTCTCTTTTGGTGTTTTCTACCTTCCAAAATATTAGCCTTTCAGCATGAAGATAATACACTAGGCCATAAGCTCAGCAAAGACCATTTCTCAGTATTTTGATGTGCTAATGCTGATGGTTCTCACTGTTCAAAACTGATGGCCACAAGCAAATCAGCAGAGACTCGTGACTTTTTTTTTCTTACATATTTCATCCCTAAAATACATAAGCACCAACTAGAGGTTCTTAAACTTGATCCAGAGGTTGTCAAGGTTCTTCTCTTGCTTGGTAATACATCTGCTTACCCAAGGGATGAAAACTTAAGCAGCACAGATGGTAAAATTAAGGCCATGTTTCTGCCCCTAATATCACCTCCCTGATCCAACTTATGGATTAGGGGGTTATTGTAGCCTGTAAAAGGTTGTACCAATCTAGGTACGTAAATGAAGTACTGGTAGTGATTGAGGATAAAGAAAATTTGAAAAGAGATACCAGAGGCCTACATACATTAAGTCTGCAGTCTTCAGCATTACAGCATCATGGAAAAATGTGAAAAAGGTAACTCAGATGCTGAAGGGCCTTGCACATATCATGGCAACAGCACGAGTGTTTGGTGTTACAGAATCAACAATTCGTTCAATTCAAGACAATCAAATGAAGATAAAGGCTTGTGCAATGAATGAGTAATTCTCAGTGTGACAGTCAAAAGAATGAGGAACAGGTCATTACAGCTAAATAAAACAGAAAGTTCACTAAAAATGTGAACTGAAAAAAAAGGTGCCCCCCCCCACTTGATGGTCTTTTTAATAGGGGAGGAAAAATCCTTAACATATTATAAAACTGTGAGAAGGAAGGCCAGCCTAAAAATGAGCACACATTTTGTTCTGGATAGCTTAACCGTTTCAGAATGAGCAGTATGCTATATGAAGAACTGCAAGATAAACAAATCAGTAGTGTATGACAGAGCACTTCACTGCAACAGTCAACTAATAGAGCTGCATCAACATCCTAAGATCCCCAACCTTCAACATCACATCATCAACCTCAACCATCAACCTTGGCCCAGCAGGGCCACAGCCACTCTCTCCACTCACTTCAGGATGTTAAGCATCACCAACCAACTTTTTGGGCCCACAAAGGAAGAAACACTGTCACCATCACTCACTTCATCACTGTCTTGCCAGAGGGGCACAGATACGCAGTTCATAACTGCAAATATCCTCACTCCTCCTTCAGAGTGCAGGCACTGTACTTTCTATCTCCAGGAATCAAGTCTAGCTAACCAGTTTCCCTGGATCCCTTCATAAATGTTACTTTGCTAACACTCCAACAGCATCTCAAGGCAAGTAATTTTTTTTTTTAACACGTCGGCCGTCTCTCACCAAGGCAGGGCGACCCAAAAGAAAGAAAACCCAAAAAAGAAAGAAAAAACTTTCATTATCAGTCAACACTTTCACCATTACTCATACATAATCACTGTCTTTGCAGAAGTGCCCAGATATGACAGTTTAGATAGTCACTCCAAACTGCCAATATCTCAAACCACATCCTCTTCTGTTTCACATAGCATTCTCATTGACAAAATTACATATAAAAGTATTTTTCTAAGAATCATGATAGTAAAAAAAGATTTGTGTGGGTTTTCCAGAGGTCTGAGAAATGTAATCCTATTTTTCCAATAAATTTTTCACTCCTTACATCGTGGAAATTATTGTTCATGGAGTTTTCAGGAAAATACATTATGTGAATTATGAATTTATTTTTTTATTAACATATCGGCCATCTCCCACCAAGGGAGGGTGGCCCGAAAATGAAAAACTTTCATCATCATTCACTCAATCACTGTGTCTACTGTTTATCACAAAAGCCTATATATTACTTACTTAAAAGCACTCAAAATGTAATTTGAGGTACAAAAGTTATAATCGTTTACAAAGTACAGTATATGTACTACAGTAATTCAATTATATGAAAGAGTTCTTAGCACCCAGTACTTTTTCAATGACAGCTGAAGTACATATATTTTTTCTTACCTATAAATCATAAGAGTACATTGTAGACGATTACCAGCTGTGAAATTCTTGAATCTTTTTCTGCAGCAAGTTGAGGTCTGCTCGATGCTTCATCAAAAACTGACCCTCAATATGAAACACTGGGATTTCAAACCTATACAGACTAAGCCACTTTTCATTGCCTGGCTCAGTAATGTCCACTTTCACAAGATGAAATTCCTCTCTCAAAGGCTCCAGAGTCTGCAAAAGTGTAATTATTATTCTTTGTGTTGTAGAGTGCTGTTATATTCTTAAGGAAAAACATTACTCCTGTAGGATTTATACAACACTTGGGAAATGGGACTTAATAATGTATGACCAAAGAAAGAGGGCACCTCCAGCTCTTTAATTCAAGAGCCCTTCACCAACTTACCTATAAATTCAACCCTTTCCCAAATTCATGAGGTTTCTAATTCATGAAATTTGATTCTCAAACATTTTTTCTGATAGGAGATATGTGAATTAATTCAGTTATTTGCTAGCTACTCAGTGCCCATTTTCTCTTAGCTTTTGGTGCATGACTAAATTGAAAACTGATTTAATGAACATCTTGAAATGCTTTCTTTTGACTTCTTCACAATTTAGAAATCACAATAAAGATACAAATTTTTACCATCCACAGTTTTATTGCTCAACCATTGGTTATGAGTGAGAATGGCTGGATTTGAGACAGGCCTGCCTAGCATAGGTCTATGCTACAGTGATCCTCAGTTCTTAAGAATTTTTACATAATTACGAGTTAGAGTAGCTAATGGGATGGAATATTATAGATTAATTATTGCTAAATACTATAAAAAAATGTAATGTATCAGTGGAAGCTGTGATTTCGTGTATAGGGCAAGGACGAATAACATCTTGTGGGAGTGAGGAAGAGCCGGTTGTGAGAGTGGGGGAAGTTCATGTGGCAGTGGGTAGAATGAAAGGGGGTAAGGCAGCTGGGACTGATGGGATAAAGATAGAAATGTTAAAAGCAGGTGGGGATGTAGTTTTGGAGTGGATGGTGCTATTACTTAATAAATGTATGGAAGAGGGTAAGGTACCTAGGGATTGGCAGAGAGCATGCATAGTTCCTTTGTATAAAGGCAAAGGGGATAAAAGAGAGTGCAAAAATTATAGGGAAATAAGTCTGTTGAGTATACCTGGTAAAGTGTATGGTAGAGTTATTATTGAAAGAATTAAGAGTAAGACGGAGAGTAGGATAGCAGATGAACAAGGAGGCTTTAGGAAAGGTAAGGGGTGTGTAGACCAAGTGTTTACAGTGAAACATATAAGTGAACAGTATTTAGACAAGGGTAAAGAGGTTTTTGGAAAAGGCATATGACAAGGTGGATAGGGGGGCAATTTGGCAGATGTTGCAGGTGTATGGTATAGGAGGTAGGTTACTGAAAGCAGTGAAGAGTTTTTATGAGGATAGTGAGGCTCAGGTTAGAGTATGTAGGAGAGAGGGAGATTATTTCCCAGTAAAAGTAGGCCTTAGACAAGGATGTGTGATGTCACTGTGGTTGTTCAATACAGTATATTTATAGATGGGGTTGTAAAAGAAGTGAATGCGAGGGTCTTGGCAAGAGGTGTGGAGTTAAAAGATAAAGAATCAAACACAGAGTGGGCGTTGTCACAGTTGCTCTTTGCTGATGACACTGTGCTTTTGGGAGAGTCTGAAGAGAAGTTGCAGAGGTTGGTGGATGAATTTGGTAGGGTATGTAAAAGAAGAAAATTAAAAGTGAATACAGTATAGGAAAGAGTAAGGTGATGAGGATAACAAAAAGATTAGGTGACAAAAGAATGGATATCAGATTGGAGGGAGAGAGTATGGAGGAGGTAAATGTATTCAGATATTTAGGAGTGGACGTGTCAGCAGATGGGTCTATGAAGAATGAGATGAATCACAGAATTGATGAAGGAAAAATGGTGAGAGCGGTGCACTTAGGAGTCTGTGGAGACAAAGAACTTTGTCCGTGAAAGCAAAGAGGGGAATGTATGAGAGTATAGTTGTACCAACACTCTTGTATGGGTGTGAAGCATGGGTGATAAATGTTGCAACGAGGAGGAGGCTGGAGGCAGTGGAGATGTCATGTCTGAGGGCAATGTGGTGTGAATATAATGCAGAGAATTCATAGTCTGGAAATTAGGAAAAGGTGTGGGATTACCAAAACTATTATCCAGAGGGCTGAGGAGGGGTTGTTGAGGTGGTTCGGACATGTAGAGGAAATGGAACAAAACAGAATGACTTCGAGAGTGTATAAATCTGTAGTGGAGGGAAGGCGGGGTAGGGGTCGGCCTAGGAAGGGTTGGAGGGAGGGGGTGAAGGAGGTTTTGTGTGCGAGGGCTTAGACTTCCAGCAAGCATGCATGAACGTATTTGATAGGAGTGAATGGAGACAAATAGTTTTTAATACTTGACGTGCTGTTGGAGTGTGAGCAAAGTAACATTTATGAAGGGATTCAGGGAAACTGGCAGGCCGGACTTGAGTCCTGGAGATGGGAAGTACAGTGTCTGCACTCTGAAGGAGATGTGTTAATGTTGCAGTTTTATAACTAGTGTAAAGCACCCCTCTGACAAGACAGTGATGGAGTGAATGATGATGAGAGTTTTTCTTTTTAGGGCCACCCTGCCTTGGTGGGAATTGGCCGACGTGTTCATATTAATAATAATATCAGTGGTGACACAACATACCTTCAATGCAACATCGCAGAGAGGACATGGGTTCTTAGTAAAGAGTGTGACAGTGGGCTTGCTGCAAGTTTTTGGGTGCTTCCTGTTAAATTGAAGATTGTGCATCAAAAAGTGAAAATTACAATTTCTAGTCAAGAAAGTTACAATTTTTGTTTTATTTAATCATGGGGAAGCACTAAACCTGTAAGGATCACATATCACCTGGGGAATGGTAGGCATTTAGGTTTGGTCAAAGGAAGGGGAGGACAAGTCTAATTTCTTGGATCAAGAACCTCACACCAGCATCAAGGCACTACCCTTCAGGGGGCACAGAAATATATATTAAGGGGTTGAAATAACCACACACTTACCTCCTCTCTAGGCCTCAGAAGGAACACTATCTTATTTGACGAAGACATCTTTCTTTCAACACACCGGCTGTATCCCACCGAGGCGGGGTGGCCCAAAAGGAAAAACAAAAGTTTCTCCTTTTACATTTAGTAATATATACAGGAGAAGGGGTTACTAGCCCCTTGCTCCCTGCATTTTAGTTGCCTCTTACAACACGCATGGCTCACGGAGGAAGAATTCTGTTCCACTTTCCCATGGAGATAAGAAGAAATAAACAAGAACAAGAACTAGAAAGAAAATAGAAGAAAACCCAGAGGGGTGTGTATATACTATATGCTTGTACATGTATGTGTGGTGTGACCTGAGTGTAAGTAGAAGTAGCAAGACATGCCTGAAATCTTGCATGTTTATGAGACAGACAAAAGACACCAGCAATCCTACCATCATGTAAAACAATTACAGGCTTTCATTTTACACTCACTTGGCAGGATGGTAGTACCTCCCTGGGCGGGTGCTGTCTACCAACCTGCTACCTAGATGAAGACATTTTTTTTTTTTTTTTTAACACTGGCTGATTCCCACCAAGGCAGGGTGGCCCGAAAAAGAAAAACTTTCACCATCATTCACTCCATCACTGTCTTGCCAGAAGGGTGCTATACACTACAGTTTTTAAACTGCAACATTAACACCCCTCTTTCAGAGTGTAGGCACTGTACTTCCCATTTCCAGGACTCAAGTCTGGCCTGCCAGTTTCCCTGAATCCCTTCATAATTGTTACTTTGCTCACACTCCAACAGCATGTCAAGTATTAAAATCCATTTGTCTCCATTCACTCCTATCAAACACGCTCACGCATAAATAATCCAAGAAACACACAGTATGACTTATTTTCCTTGTGGTTTTCTTTTTAAGTTCTTCCCAAGGATATGCAACTGACTAACTTCTAGGTATCTATTAACTACAAGGTAATGTGTAGCAGGGTTTGACCTGGGTACTTTCAGTTACGAGGCAGACATGCTGGCACTACACTTTGGCTGTGAACATCTTCTGTACACTTCTAAAAGAGCTGTGTTAACCCTTAAACTGTCCAAATGTAGATCTACGTTTTTTCAGCATTTGAAAGTATGTAAAAAACCGTAGATTTTTTTTTTTTTTACATTTGATAACGTGTAAAAAACTTTGATCTACTTTTTTTGTTGTTGTTGTATTTGAAAATATGTAAAAAAAAAACGTAGATCTACTTTTGGAGCACTACGCATGTGAATGTAAATCTGTTTGGACAGTTTAAGGGTTAATTTCTGAAGTTTGCTACATTGAGGTCCGTTTAGTTGAAGATTTACTAAATGCTGTAGTAATTACACAGCATATACTTGTACATGTTAAACTCCTTTACTCACTCCAGCTGGAGTTATACAAGGAACAGACAGGTGAATGAAATGGTCTTCATTATTGTAAAATATATTTATTACATATACTGTACAGTGTAAAGTCTAATACTACCCATCAAAAGTTTAAATTAATTTAATAAAACCGTCAGTGTGCTAATTTCGGTTTAATATTGACAAGTTTCTCCTGACTTTTACTGGCCAAACACACAAGGCTTAATAAAATTCTTCTTATATTACAAGTATTTCAATAACAACACTTCACAAAAATACAAACCAAACTCTACAAGTGATTAAGTAATTATGCCTTCTATTAATATGAAACAAATACAGTGGAACCTCAAATTTCGAACTTAATCCATTCCAGGAGCTAGTTCTAGTCGAAAAGTTTGAAAGACGAAACAATATTTCCCGTGAGAAATAATGGAAATACAATTAATCTGTTCCAGAAACCCAAAAATATTCACAAAAAAATACAAGTTATAGATAGTACATGTATTACATTATAGTTTACATACACACAACAAATATAGTGTACAATTATTAATAAATTTAAATAAACATAAAAAATAACATTTTTACTTACCTTTATTGAAGATTAGTGATGGCATCTGGAAGGTAGGGAGGAGGAGAGAGGGAGTTGGGGTTATTGTTTGGAAGGGGAATCCCCCTCCATAAGGACTTTAGGTATCAAAGCCCTCTCTGGGGTTACTTCCCTTCTCTGCCTTTTAATGCCACTAGGACCAGCTTGAGAGTCACTGGACCCGTCTCGCAAAATAACCGTCCACAGTGTTTCTGGCAAGCTCAACAAGTTGCACACCACTCTCATACTTCTGTATTATTTCCTTCTTCACATCTATGGTGTTTCTCACTTTCTTTACCACAGGGGTACCACTAGCAAGTTTCTTTGGGCCCTTGGTAGCTTATTTCAGTCCCACAAGCACTAAACACGATGAATTAATCGTAAAATGTTTAAATGAGGCCGCAGGGTAGTATTCACAAAGCCCGACTGGCTCACAGCGCCTGTGCGGGGACACGAACAGAGGGGGCTGGTGGACAGGTCCAGTACCCAGCGGTTCGAAAGAGGGCGAGTTCAATAAGGACAAATTGGTTCGAAAAATGCGGTCGATTTTTGAAGAGTTCGATAAGTGATACGTTCAAAATTTGAGGTTCCACTGTATATACACATGTAAAACTCTTAACTACTTACAATATCAGAATTTGTCTTCTCTCATTTTTAAACACACCAAAAAAATTAAAATAGGGATATTACAATTTCAGGAAATATACATTCTAACAAACAATTTTGCAGAAAAACCATTCTAGGTAGAAACTTACACTTTCTCGATCATAATAGCTGAGGCCCCACCACCACCATTACAAATTGATGCTACACCCTTTTGTCCAGGTTTCAATGCGTGTGCCAGATGCACCACAATACGTGCCCCAGACATTCTGCCGGAAAACATTAAAATACATTTAACTTCTTTTTCATTCAGTCTCCTATGAGGTTATAGAATATTAGAATTAATATTTTACATCAGCTTTAAAAATTGGTTCTCAGGTTTTTCCCTAAACCTGAAATATACAAATCCAGGATAAGAGAACCCACCCTTTACAAGCACCAACAAATTTGAACAATTATGTCTCAGAATCCTAGAAAGAAAACAGCAGAATTGAGGTAATACAGTACTGCACTGTATAAAGATTTTTATGATAGTGAAGAGTTACAAATTCAATGAGGAATATATAATCTTCAACAAAATGCAAAAGTCAATCACATCAACTGAAAATGGCACACAATAAAAAAATAATTTAAGAACCTCTGATGCTTTACTAAATATCACAAAAATCACCAAAAGGTTAAAGGTATATTCTCCCCCCCCCCCAAAAAAAAAAAAAAAAAAATTGTTAATACAATCTCATTCACCCCCACCTTCACTCACACACACACAAAACTGTGTCAAGCCAAACTTCCTTAAGTGGTACTTGAGTGGCTGTCATCAGGAACTGCTGGATGAAAATGCTGCTTTCATGACAGGACATCTCCACTGCCTCCAGCTGCCTCCTCGCTGCAGCATTTACAACCCAAGCTTTACACCCATACAAGTGTGTTGGTACCACTATACTTTCGTACATTCCCTTCTGTCTCCATGGATGACGTTCTTTGTCTCCATGGATAACATTCCTTGTTTCCATGGATAATGTTTTTCGTCTCCACAGATATATCAACGCACCACTCACCTTTTCTCCTTCATCAATTCTATGGTTAACCTCAACCTTCATAAACCCATCCACTGACAAGTCAACTCCCAAATATCTGAAAACATTCACTTTTTCCATACTCCCTCTCTCCAATGTGATATCCAATTTTTCTTTATCTAAATCATTTGATACCCTTATCACCTTACTCTTATCTATATTCACTTTCAACTTTCTACATTTACACACCCTTCCAAACTCTTCCACTATCCTTTGCAACTTTTCTTTAGACTCTACCATAAGCACAGTATCATCCACAAAAAGTAACTGCATCAACTCCCATTTTGTATTTGATTCCCCATAATTTAATCCCATCCTTCTCCCCAACACCCTAGCATTTACTTCTTTTACAACCCCATCAATAAATACATTAAACAACCATGGTGACATTACTCATCCCTGTCTAACACCTACTTTTACCGGGAAGTAGTCTCCCTCTCTCCTACACACCCTAACCTGGGCCTCACTGTCCTCATATAAACTCTTTACAGCATTTAGTCATTTACTACCTATTCCATATACCTGCAACTTCTGCCACATTGCTCCCCTATCCACTCTATCATATACCTTTTCTAAATCCATAAATGCAATGAAAACTTCCCTACCTTTATCTAAATACTGTTAACATATATGCTTCAATGTAAACACTTGATCTATACGTCCCCTACCCGCTCTAAAGCCTCCTTGTTCATCTGCAATTGTACTGTCTGTCTTACCTCTAATTCTTTCAATAATAACCCTACAGTACACTTTACCTGGTATACTAGTAAATTTCTTCTTCTTTCAACGCACCAGCCGTATCCCACTGAGGTGGGGTGGCCCAAAAGGAAAAACGAAAGTTTCTCCTTTTAAATTTAGTAATATATACAGGAGAAGGGGTTACTAGCCTCTTGCTCCTGGCATTTTAGTGGTCTCTTACGACATGTATAGCTTACGGAGGAAGAATTCTGTTCCACTTCCCCATGGAGATCAGAGGAAATAAACAAGAACTAGAAAGAAAATAGAAGAAAACCCAGAGGGGTATGTATATATATGTTTCTATATGTATGTGTAGTGTGACCTAAGTGTAAGTAGAAGTAGCAAGATGTACCTGAAATCTTGCATGTTTATGAGACAGAAAAAAGGACACCAGCAACCCTACCATCATGTACAACAATTACTGGCTTTTGTTTTACACTCACTTGGCAGGATGGTAGTACCTCCCTGGGCAGTTGCTGTCTACCAACCTACTACCTTGACTTAGTAAATTTATTCCCTTATAATGTTTACAATCTCTTTTGTCCCCTTTCTTCTTTCTTTCAACACACTGGCCATATCCCACCGAGGCGGGGGTGGCCCAAAAGGAAAAACTAAAGTTTCTCCTTTTACATTTAGTAATATATACAGGAGAAGGAGTTACTAGCCCCTTGCTCCTGGCATTTTAGTCACCTCTTACAACACGCATGGCTTATGGAGGAAGAATTCTGTTCCACTTCCCCATGGAGGTAAGAGGAAATAAACAAGAACAGGAACTAGAAAGAAAATAGAAGAAAACCCATAGGGGTGCGTGTATATATGCTTGTACATGTATGTGAAGTGTGACCTAAATGTAAGTAGAAGTAGCAAGACGTACCTGAAATCTTGCATGTGTATGAGACAGAATAAAAGGACATCAGCAATCCTACCATCATGTAAAACAATTATAGGCTTTCGTTTTACACTCACTTGGCAGGACGGTAGTACCTCCCTTGGCGGTTGCTGTCTACCAACCTACTACCTTGACTTAGTAAATTTATTCCCTTATAATTTTTACAATCTCTTTTGTCCCCCTTACCTTTATATAAAGGAACTATACATGCTCTCTGCCAATCCCTAGGTACCTTCCCCTCTTTCATACATTTATTAAACAAAAATACTAACCATTCCAACAATAAATACCCCCCTGCTTTTAACATTTCTGTCATGATCCCATCAGTTCCAGCTGCTTTACCCCCTTTCATTCTACGTAATGCCTTGCACACCTCCCCCCCCACTCGCATTCTGCTCTTCTTCACTCCTAAAAGATGTTATACCTCCCTGGCTAGTGCATGAAATTACCGCCTCCCTTTCTTCATCGATATTTAAAAGTTCCTCAAAATATTCTCGTCATCTACCCAATACCTCCAGCTCCCCATTTACTAACTCCCTCCAAAATTTTTTCTTATTTTCAGAAAAATTTCTTGACAGTACTTCTCCCACTATCATCTGCTCTCCTTTTGGACTCTCTCACCTTTCTTTTACTCTCCATATACTCTGATCATCTTATAACACTTCTGCTTTGTAAAAACCTCTTATAAGCTACCTTTCTCTCTTTTATCACACACTTTACTTCATCAATCCACCAATCATTCCTCTTTCCTCCTGCACCCACCCTCCTATAGCCACAAACTTCTGCCCCACATTCTTATGTACATTTTTAAAACTATCCCAACCCTCTTCAACCCTCCCACTACCCCACCTTTCTGCCAATAGTTGCTTATATCTCACCCTAACTTCCTCCTCCCTTAGTTTATACACTTTCACCTCTCTCTTACTTGCTGTTGTCATTTTCCTTTTGTCCTGTCTACCTCTTACTCTAATTGTAGTTATAACTAAATGATGATCCAATATATCCATTGCCCCTCTATAAACATGTACATCCTGAAGCCTACCCATCAACCTTTTATCCACCAATACATAATCTAACAAACTACTTTCATTACGTGCTATATCATATCTTGTACAGTGGAACCCCGAGTTTCAGCCATAATTCTTTCCAGAAGGCTGTTCGAGTGCCATTACTGAACGAATTTGTTCCCATAAGGAATAACGTAAATTAGAGTAGTCCATTTCAGACCCCCGAAAATACACTTACATAATTGTTTGAGTTGGGAGCTGTTCGAAACTCGAGGTACCACTGTATGCTTATTTATTCTCTTTTTCATAAAATATGTATTACTTGTTATCAAACCTCTTTCTACACAGCTCAATTAAAGGCTCCCCATTTTCATTTACACATGGCACCCCAAATTTACCTACTACTCCCTCCACAACATTTTTACCCACTTTAGCACTGAGATTCACAACCACAAGTACTCTCTCACTTGGTTCAAAACTCCCCATGCATTCACTCAACATTTCCCAAAATCTCTCTCTCTCCTCTACACTTCTCTCTTCTCTAGGTGCAAAAAGACTTACTATAACCTAATTTTCACATCCAACCCATATTTTACTCCACATAATCCTTGAATTTAAACATTTATATTCCCTCTTTTCCTGCCATAACTTATCCTTCAACATTATTGCTACTCCTTCCTTAGCTCTAACTCTATTTGAAACCCCTGACCTAATCCCATTTATTTCTCCCCACTGGAACTCTCCTATCTCCTTCAGCTTTGTTTCACTTAAAACCAGTACATCCAGCTTCTTTTCATTCATAACATTCACAATCATCTCTTTCTTATTATTCACACAACATCCACGCACATTCAAACATCCCATTTTGATGATTTTCTTCTTTTTCTTTTTGGTAAGCTATACGGGAAAAGGGATTACTAACCCATTGTTCTGAGCATGTTAGTCGACTTTTACAACACGCATGGCTTACGGAGGAAAGATTTTTATTCCATTCACCATGAATATGAAAGGAAAGGTAATAAGAACAATAACTATTAAGATAAAATCAAAGAAAACTCAGATGAGTGTGTATACATAAACGTGTACATGAATGTGTAGTGTGACCTAAGTGTAAATAGAAGTAGCAAGACGTATCTGAAATCTTGCATGTTTATGAGACAGAAAAAGAGACACCAGCAATCCTACCATCATGTAAAACAAATACAGGCTTCCTTTCTACACTCACCTGGTAGGACAGTAGTACCTCCCCGAGTGGCTGTTGTCTACCAACCTACTACAGAAGGAATTACTAGGCCCTTGCACCCAGCATTTTAGTCGCCTCTTACGACACGCATGGATTATGGAAGAAGGATTCTTCTCCAATTCCCCATGGAGACTTGTATACACACATACATGTGTCTCTTAACATAATGATAAATGGATCACCTATCACAAAACTCACAGAGGGAAAATTCCTAGGAATCCACCTTGATAATAGACTCAAATTTCAAACACATATACAACAAATTTCCAAAAAAAATTCCAAGACCATAGGCATACTATCGAAGATACAGTACTATGTTCCACAGTCAGCCCTCCTGGCCCTATATCACTCACTTCTTTACCCCTATCTCACCTATGGAATTTGTGCATGGGGCTCAACAACAATAAACCATCTCAGACCACTAATCACCCAACAAAAGGCTGCAGTCAGAATGATAACAAATTCCCACTACAGACAGTACACTCCACCAATATTCAAAACTCTAAACCGGTTATTTTCTTATAGTCGGACTTGAGTCCTGGAAATGGGAAGTACAATGCCTGCACTTTAAAGGAGGGGTTTGGGATATTGGCAGTTTGGAGGGATATGTTGTGTATCTTTATACGTATATGCTTCTAAACTGTTGTATTCTGAGCACCTCTGCAAAAGCAGTGATAATGTGTGAGTGTGGTGAAAGTGTTGAATGATGATGAAAGTATTTTCTTTTTGGGGATTTTCTTTCTTTTGTGGGTCACCCTGCCTCGGTGGGAGATGACCAACTTGTTGAAAAAAAAAAAAAAAACCTACTCACAATACAAAACATCCATACTTATTACTGCACCTACTACATACATAGAACACTTAACTCTGACATAAACCCTCCCCTCAAACATCTCCTTACCAACCTCAACAGAACACATGACCATAACACAAGACACAGATCACTCTTTGACATTCCTCGTGTCCATCGCACGCTATGCAAAAACTCAATGCACATAAAAGGCCCTAAAATCTGGAATTCATTACCTGTGAATATAAAAGAAACACTGTTTATAAATTCAAGTCTCTTCTCAAAAATCACTTACTCACCCACAAGTAAATAAATACTGAATAATTGTATCTCATAAACTGTATCTCATATATGTATCTCATTATTGTATTATTGTATCATTATTGTTTTTGTAATACTCATTTGTGCTTGTTATCTATTTACAATAATGTTTTACCACTGAATACTTCATTGCTTAGTTAATCTTAAGTTAATTTTAAGCCTGCCCATAATGCTATGCATTCAAGTGGCTTTGGCATGCTTTATTTAACTGTATTCTTTTGTACTTCACTGTATCATGTTCAAATTAATAAATAAAATAAAAAAAAAAATATATATTGTACAACTATGATATAATTCATTAGTGTTAAGTAGCCAGTAAGCCAATCATGTTAAGTTGGCCCATCATGCCTAGGCATAATAGAGACTCTCTTTGCATTGCAACCCATTATTGTAAATACATAATCTCAATGTACTATTTGCAAAGACGTAAATAAATAAATTGCCCTTGTAATTTTAAGTTAGGCTAAGCTTGCCAGAAATACTCGACATAACCATAGGGTTTTTACATGCATTATGAAGTGTCACCTATTTCTGCGCAATATCTCATGTAGAAATAAATTATGAATTTGAAATAGGCCTAAAAGTGGCAGAAATTGCCTAAAAGTGGCAGAAATCATCAATTTTTAATTCTATCAAATGATACCAAGAAACAGCCAATAAAATCATAAAAAAAATCTAGATAACACCTTAAAGTCGCTATTTTCAACCAAATACACCTACCACCCGACTTACGACCGAGTTTGGTTCCGAGAAACCGGTCGTAAGTCAAAATGGTCGTAAGTCGAACTTTACTACTGAATATCAACAAAACATTTTTGTAATGACTTTATTTTATTGTTTTATTTTGGTATTTCATGTTTTACTTTACTTTTTATGTTGTTAGTACTGTATTTTATACTGTAAAGTTTAGGATAAACACTGTGTACAACACAAATAGTTGTTTATTTCCCAGAAATTTGGCACAAAAAACACGGTCGTAAGTCGAGTGGCTGTAAGTCGAGCAGGTCGTAAGTCGGATGGTAGGTGTACAAGGTCAGAGTTTTGCTTTTTCATATGCACCGCTTGGGGCAGAATTTTTTTATACTGTGCATGCTCGCTGCACACACCTGTTCTCTCCTTCAGCTTATCTGGGTGAGAAGAGCTCAAAACATAGATCTACATAAGTGACCCTGGTGTCAATAATGTACATAGTTCAATGGATGAGACAGTGCAAGAGTTAACAGTTTAAATTTGTAATAAAAAAAAAGATTTATCATCATTTAAAAAAATGAAGCTTACCCAATGGGATGACCCAGTGAGACTGCCCCACCATGGACGTTGACTTTGGCTGGATCCAAGTTACACATTTTGATATTGGCCAGAACCACTACTGAGAAGGCCTCATTCACCTCCCACATTGCTATATCATCGTGTTTCACACCTGTCATTTCCAACAACTGATGGAAAAATAAGAAATATCATTAGTTACTGCATAAAAAGAAATTTGTACTATTTATAATGCACACTGACCCATAAGCTCATTCAGTTCATAAGGCCATATATAGCTATTGATAATAAGTTCAAATAGAACTACAGCCATCTGTCTAAATTTGCCAGCTTCTCTATTTTCAGATTTTGATTATCGAATAAGTTTACTGATCAGCAATCAATAATATGTACAACTGAATTATGATTCAATTATTCAACATTTTTTCTGGCTCAATATAGTATTTCCTAAACGTAAATCTCTTCATTTTGGTCATTATTTCATATGTCAATAATGACCAGATTACAATGGTACATCACAAAGATATGTAGTGTGAACTAATTTCGTATTCACAGTTACTAATTTCATGGGGCCTCTAGGAACACAACTCTCTGCCAATTTGTATATAGGGTGTATACAGTTTTTTTTTTCCAACAAGTTGGCCATCTCCCACTGAGGCAGGGTGACTCAAAAAGAAAGAAAATCCCCAAAAAGAAAATACTTTCATCATCATTCAACACTTTCACCTCACTCATACATAATCACTGTCTTTGCAGAGGCACCCAGATACAACAGTTTAGAGGCATATATAAAGATATATAACATATCCCTCCAAACTGCCAATATCCCAAACCCCTCCTTTAAAGTGCAGGAATTGTACTTCCCATTTCCAGCATTCAAGTCCGACTATATAAAAATAACGGGTTTCCCTGAATCCCTTTATTAAATATTACCCTGTTCACACTCCAACAGCTCGTCAGGTCCCAAAAACCATTTGTCTCCATTCACTCCTATCTAACATGCTCATGCATGCATGCTGGAAGACCAAGCCCCTCACCCATAAAACCTCCTTTACCCCCTCCCTCCAATCTTTTCGAAGACAACCCCTACCCAGTCTTCCTTCCCCTACCGATTTATACTCTCCCCGTGTCATTCTACTTTGATCCATTCTCTCTAAATGACCAAACCAGCCCTCTGACTAATTCTTTTATTAACTCCACACCTTCTCCTAATTTCCTCACTCCAAATTCTCTGCATAATATTTACAGCACACAGGGTGGATAGGGGGGCAATGTGGCAGATGTTGCAGGTGTATGGTGTAGGAGGTAGGTTACTGAAAGCAGTGAAGAGTTTTTACGAGGATAGTGAGGCTCAAGTTAGAGTATGTAGGAAAGAGGGAAATTATTTCCCAGTAAAAGTAGGCCTTAGACAAGGATGTGTGATGTCACCGTGGTTGTTTAATATATTTATAGATGGGGTTGTAAGAGAAGTAAATGCGAGGGTCTTGCCAAGAGGCGTGGAGTTAAAAGATAAAGAATCACACATAAAGTGGGAGTTGTCACAGTTGCTCTTTGCTGATGACACTGTGCTCTTGGGAGATTCTGAAGAGAAGTTGCAGAGATTGGTGGATGAATTTGGTAGGGTGTGCAAAAGAAGAAAATTGAAAGTGAATACAGGAAAGAGTAAGGTTATGAGGATAACAAAAAGATTAGGTGATGAAAGATTGGATATCAGATTGGAGGGAGAGAGTATGGAGGAGGTGAATGTATTCAGGTATTTGGGAGTGGACGTGTCAGCGGATGGGTCTATGAAAGATGAGGTGAATCATAGAATTGATGAGGAGAAAAGGGTGAGTGGTGCACTTAGGAGTCTGTGGAGACAAAGAACTTTGTCCTTGGAGGCAAAGAGGGGAATGTATGAGAGTATAGTTTTACCAACGCTCTTATATGGGTGTGAAGCATGGGTGATGAATGTTGCAGCGAGGAGAAGGCTGGAGGCAGTGGAGATGTCATGTCTGAGAGCAATGTGTGGTGTGAATATAATGCAGAGAATTCGTAGTTTGGAAGTTAGGAGGAGGTGCGGGATTACCAAAACTGTTGTCCATAGGGCTGAGGAAGGGTTGTTGAGGTGGTTCGGACATGTAGAGAGAATGGAGCGAAACAGAATAACTTCAAGAGTGTATCAGTCTGTAGTGGAAGGAAGGCGGGGTAGGGGTCGGCCTAGGAAAGGTTGGAGGGAGGGGGTAAAGGAGGTTTTGTGTGCAAGGGGCTTGGACTTCCAGCAGGCATGCATGAGCGTGTTTGATAGGAGTGAATGGAGACAAATGGTTTTTAATACTTGACGTGCTGTTGGAGTGTGAGCAAAGTAACATTTATGAAGGGGTTCAGGGAAACCGGCAGGCCGGACTTGAGTCCTGGAGATGGGAAGTACAGTGCCTGCACTCTGAAGGAGGGGTGTTAATGTTGCAGTTTAAAAACTGTAGTGTAAAGCACCCTTCTGGCAAGACAGTGATGTAGTGAATGATGGTGAAAGTTTTTCTTTTTCGGGCCACCCTGCCTTGGTGGGAATCGGCCAGTGTGATAATAAATAAAATAAAAAACTTTGCCCTTAGTTGTCGTCGTCATAGAGTCTCAAAACTCCAGCCCGTCGCGTTAGCCACTAGACCAGCTAGCCTCCAACCGCTTCCTCGCTGCAGCATTTACAACCCAAGCTTCACACCCATACAAGTGTTGGTACCACCATAATTTCATACATTCATTCTTTGCTTCCATAGATAAATTTTTTTTGTCTCCACATGTACCTCAATGTACCACTCACCATTTTTCCTTCATCAATTCTATGGTTAACCTCATGCCTCATAAACCCATCCGCTGACATGTCAACTCCCAAATATCTGAAAACATTCACTTCTTCCATTCTCCCTCTCTCCAATGTGATATCCAGTTTTTCTTTATCTAAATCATTTGATACTCTCATCACCCTACTCTTATCTATGTTCACTTTCAACTTTCTACCCTTACACATCCTCCCACTAACCTTTGCAACATTTCTTTAGAATCTCCCATAAGCACAGTACCATCAGCAAAAAGTAACTCCCATTTTGTATTTGATTCCCCATAATTTAATCCCACCCCTCTCCCCAACACCCTAGCATTTACTTCTTTTACAACACCATCTATAAATTTATTAAACAACCATGGTGACATTACACATCCCTGTTTAAGACCTACTTTTACCAGGAAGTAATCTCCCTCTCTTCTATACACCCTAACCTGAGCCTCACTATCCTCATAAAAATGCTTTACAGCATTTAGTAACTTACTACCTATTCCATGTACTTGCAACATTGCTCCCCTATCCACTCTATCATATGTCTTTTCTAAATCCATAAATACAATGAAAACTTCCCTACCTTTGTCTAAATACTGTTCAAGCCTCCTTGCTCACCTGCAATCCTAATCTCTGTCTTACCTCTAATTCTTTCAATAATAACCCTACCATACACTTTTCCTGGTATAATTCCCCTTTAATTTTTACAATCTCTTTTGTCCCCCTTCCTTTTATATAATGGAACTATACATGCTCTCTGCCAATCCCTAGGTACCTTCCCCTCTTTCATACATTAAACAAAAATACCAACCATTCCAACACTATATCCATTCTTTCTTTCTTTCTTTCAACACACCGGACATATCCCACCAAGGCAGGGTGGCCCAAAAAGAAAAACAAAAGTTTCTCTTTTAAATTTAGTAATTTATACGGGAGAAGGGGTTACTAGCCTCTTGCTCTCGGCATTTTAGTCGCCTCTTACAACACGCATGGCTTACGGAGGAAGAATTCTGTTCCACTTCCCCCATTCACCTGCTTTTAACATTTCTGTCATAATCCCGTCAGTTTCAGCTGCTTTACCCCCTTTCATTCTACGTAATGCCTCACACACCTCCCTCACACTCATCCTGCTCTTCTTCACTCCTAAAAGATGTTACACCTCCCTGGCCAGTGCATGAAATTACCACCTCCCTTTCTTCATCAACATTTAAAGTTCCTCAAAATATTCCCGCCATCTACCCAATACCTCCAGCTCCCCATCTACTAACTCCCCTATTCTGTTTTTAACTGACAAATCCACTCGTCCCCTAGGCTTTCTTAACTTGTTTATCTCACTCCAATTTTTTTCTTATTTTCATAAAAATTTCTTGACAGTGCCTCTCCCACTCTATCATCTGCTCTCCTTTTGCACTCTCTCACCACTCCACCTTTCTTTTACTCTCCATATACATGTACTCTGCTGTTCTTATAACACTTCTGCTTTGTAAAAACCTCTCATGAGCTACCTTTTTCTCTTTTATCACACCCTTTACTTCATCATTCCACCAATCATCCCTCTTTCCTCCTGCACCCACCCTCCTATAGCCACAAACTTCTGCCCCGCATTCTAATACTGCATTTTTAAAACTATTCCAACCCTCTTCAAACCCTCCATTACTCATACTTGCACTAGCCCACCTTTCTGCCAATAGCTGCTTTTATCTCACCCTAACCTCCCCCTCCCTAATCAAATCAAATCAAGTTTATTCTCTATAAAGATTACAAAGTGGGTTTGATATATTATAGGATATTGTGTGGTTTACATATTATATAAAACTAATTACAGAGAGGGCCACTATCACACCTAGCATGACTAGGCATTTTGGGCAGACTAAGATTAATTCAAAACTCTATATTTGTACATGTTATGGAGCATATTAGTATTAAGGCTAAGTAACTGCATTATAGTTCGTAAATTTAGCAATGTGAATGGCTTTGTTTTGGTACAATACATAGTTTCTATTGAAGCTCCTATATTGGAGTATCACAGGCAAACTTATGACTAGTTAAGTTTCATTAGGTAATAGTTGTATTACGTATTTCAATGTTTATAGTCAACTGGGTGAGTGTAGGTGCGAATTGTGGGGAATCACAGATATCGAGGGGAGGTCTAGGCTGTTTTTTGTGTGTGTATGATTCAAGAGAATAGGCAGTTTTCATGTAGTTAGCTGATGGTGGGGTGTGTCAGGGAGATAAGATGTTTTCTAATAGTAGTTTTGAAAGTGATGAATGTGCCTTTTATGTACTTTGAATTTTTGTATAGGTTTAGCCAGACATGGGGAATGTCATAGAGATGTTTGTGTCTGGTGTTATGCCTGTGGG